AGAACCTGCTGCTGCGTACGGAGCAGGAGGAGAACCTGCTGCTGCGTTAAAAACACATGCGCACTAATTAAAGCCACACCAACCGTTCAGTGAGCGCTGGCGTTCCTCGGCACAGAACAATAAAAACCTGTAAAAGCCCGAAGGATAAAAACGTGGAGTTCATTAACTGGAGCCGACGTCCCGGAGAGAACAGCGCAGAAACTAACTTTAAAGAACGTCTGAGTTTGACTTTAATTAAAGCGACTAACGAACAGACTGACTGAAGGTGAAATCACTTTAATAACCGTTAATGAAATGAAAGATTCTCTGTTTTATGCTGAAAGGAAAAGGACTGTTTGAGTCTGTTAGTAAAATATCTCATGAACTACAGGACTGTTTACATGAAACTCACAGAAAGTCATCACTGGATGTTCATCAACAACTGTTAACGCAGTTCAAACCAAAGTGCACGTTTGATCAATCTTTGCTAATAAACTTTTAGCTTTCTTTTAGTACGTTTGTGAAAAATGACGACACTGAAAATCACAACAAAGCTCAGAAGCGCTGGCGGAGCACACCTGGAGGCTCTGCTGCTTGGTTCTCCATTTGATGAGCAGGTTCTTGTACAGGAGGCTCCGTGTTTGGGTCCAGACTCCGGCATCTCTTCTGATCATCGGCTGCATGCTGCCGGCGTTCCTCATCTGGATGACGTACGGACGAGCGTTCGTCTCACTAAGACTGGCCTCGGCTGCAGAAAAACAGGGACCTTTGATCAGCAACACGAAGACAACTAACTAAATGTTGGTTTCGGAGGAGATTATTCAGCTTCAACCTACAGCGGGGAAGATTATTCATCAAAACATGGTTTATTTAAGAGGAAGAAACACTTATCAGCTCTGGAAAAGAAATGCCCAAGGACAGAGTCACGGGTAATAATCTCTAATTTGTGCTTTAACAGATATCTCCTCACAGATTAAAGCAACTCAGACTGCAGAAACTAAATGTTCCTTCTTCTGCCTTCGTTGTTTAATTCAGGTTATTTATGTAGCACTATTTCACTATGAAAGCCTAAAAGGCACTTTATAGAAAAAAAAAAAGTGTGAAAAGTACTGATCCGAGCACAGAACCCTGAGGATCTCCATGATAAACTGAGAGCGGGTATGGGCCAATTACCAGCTGCGAGGTACGTCACAGTTCAAAGAGTCACGACGTTACAACTCTACGTCTTCCTGTTCCTACAGTTTAAATGTCTTTTAGTGAGGAGTCACACTAAATATTTGTTGTTATTGTTTGTTTGAAAAAAAAAAAGCACATGTCACTTCACCTACACCAACATCAAGGACTTCACACATACACTGTGTGCATTCACTTCATATGCTGCTTTGCCACTCACTACAAATATCAATGTCAGGACCTTCACTTCATTCGATTTTATTTTTATAGATATACTTTAGAAAAAAAAATTATACCGCTACAGTACAATTTAAGACAGTATCATGCTTTTATTATTTAATTTTATGCTTATGTTTATTAAATGTTTTAATGTTAAATGGTTTTGTTTCACGGGGTCTGAGAGTAATGTAATTTCAATCCTGTGTACGTCCTGTACATGTTGCAGGTTTTGACAATAAAGTGACTTTGACTTGAATTGTTTAGCAACAAGCTACAAGAGTTAGCACGTTAGCAGGTGTTAGCACGTTAGCAGGTGTTAGCACGTTAGCAGGTGAAACATGCAGCCATGTTTCTGCATGTGGAGGCTAAGAACTTAGCTAATTAATGATTAACATCAGTTTGTATGACTCGGTGTTTCCAAAAAGCAGAACAGCAGAGAAAAATAATTACAGGTACAATTACTTTGGAATTACAAATAAATATAGATAAAATGGCTGCAGACTCCTGACAGGACAAGGATGGACACAAGTCCACTGTCAGACTGGACTAGGATGGACACAAGTCCACTGTCGGACAGGACAAGGACGGACACAAGTCCACTGTCTGACAGGACTAGGACGGACACAAGTCCACTGTCTGACAGGAC